TAGTCAGACGGGTTAATTGATTTATTATTGTTATCAATATTTTTTTTTAATTTTATGATTTTAAAATAAAAAATAATTGGGGAAATAAATAAATAAAAAATGGAAAAAGTGAGTGAAGAAAATACAAGGACAGAGAGAGTAGGATAAGATAAGACCACTCAATACTCCTTTCTCAGTCTCAGGTTTACACTGTGAATTTGTCCCAACTCAAAAAATACGAATATAAAAGTATTTTATATACATATAATCAAATATTTATTTATTTTATTAGAAAAATAAAAAGAAAAAAATGAAATTAAAAAATGGTATAAAATATTTAAAATTTAAAACAAAATTTTGATTAATCTTATTATCGCCAGGTTGTATTAAAATAATTTAGTAAAAAAAAAATTCAAATTTCTAATAATAATAAACGTAAAATACTGAAATATTATTAAATATTTAAATATGTTCATGTTATTCGATTGGTAACCGACTATTTGATTTCACTCCAAAGCATTGATGTGTCAAAAAATCAGATTTAAACAGTAAAAACTCATTTAACCTTTGTTTATTTCACCTATATTTTTTTCAGAATATTTAATCCGTTATGCGAGCCGACTAATTATAATGTAATTATCTGTTTTGTGGGTAGCTCGAAGTCACTGCATTTGAACCTCTGTGGTCACAGGGGGGTTTATTCTTCATTGGATTTGATTTTGAGACTTCCAAACACTTTTGACATTTGAAGTCTAAGCTCAAATCAATCAGGCACCACTTTTGTGGTTAATATATTCTTAGTGTATGTAATACTAGATGCATGTTCAAAAGAAAATATTAATAATAAAAGAACAAGAAAACCTATTTAAAACCATCCATTTATGATTGATTCACTATCGATTAGACCTTCTGTTATTTTAGGGGTTGTTTGGCAATTGCTGAATGATTTGGTGCAGAATGATTAAATAGTCAGAATGATTAAGAGTCTCATGATATAGTGCAAAAAGAAATATAATTGTTTGGTAATTGTGTACAATGAAATTAGGGCTTTTAATAGTTAAGGGAGATCCATGATACAAAATCGTTCAGAGGGTTTTAGAACCATTAAGAGACAGACTTTTTTTTTGCCAAATAAGATTCACCTCTTAACGGTTCAGAGGTGTCTCTTAATGAAACTATTAAGAGGTAAACAAACAACCCTTTATTTTATAGTTATTTGTTTCTGGCTATTTTATGGCATGGATGGCTTATTCGTCCAACCACATCAGTGTGTGTGTTTGTGGCTTAAATGATTAAGCCCAAGACTTAATCACACAAACCATCGATTTTTTTATGAATTGAATCAATCAACTCATGAGATAATTGTACGGAGGGTATTCACAGTCATTTTTCAATACACATTTCATGTTCATGTGATGGTTACTGTCTTCACAAAATGTAACGTAACATTCATACAGTATAAGAGTATCTTCACTATTTCTCACGCTTCTCGTGCAAATGAAAATTTATCACTTCGATGAGATGTATGTATGTATGTATATATGTATATATGTGTGTGTATACATAACGATAAAAGGGAATCAACTCAGCCCGCGACAAGGGGCGTGCACTTCTTTTTATTATGCTTTAGTTCTATCTTTCAGGAATAAAAAGATAGTAGATAGGAGACTGTATAATAGAAACAAGCTAAATGCATCGTACAACAGGAATAAGAAATGCATATGTGAAACGGATACGGAATGTATCATTGCTGACTGTAAAATACAATCCTTATACTTTAAATAAATATAATTTTTAAATATAATGTTTAGTTTTACATATAGATTAAATATCTTCAAGTAGTCGAAGTTAACCGTGACGAGATACAGTGTGAAGGGGAATAAGAAATTGCACGAATATCCGTCAAATAAATAGGTTGATGTGTAACCGATACAAAAAGATATGATGACAAGACTTAGTTGAAACGCTGTGTTGGAATAAAGTTATTACCAAAGTATTGACCAATTTGACCAGTACCTTTCTTTTTGCTTTCGGGTTGGGTTGTGACCCCAGAAGCACGATCCACGCAAGTTGGTGGGCAAAGCATGATAGAATCAATAGATGATGACGTTATTGAATGGTGAGGTTCAAGCATTATGGTTTGAGAACTTAGGTGGGTTTGGACCCATTAAGTCATGGTCACTCGTTTCCTTGACCCAAATCGGTAGACTTTGCCATTTATTTATACAAATCGATGGTTCATCTGCAATTGACCTTATGGAGAACATCTCCGTAAATGCAAACGAAAGATTAACCTTGTAAAATTGAGAAGAACGTTTTACCTATGAAAAACCCTTTTCCAGCCATAAGCGATTAGGGGAAAGGTATCTGGATAATGGTAGGTACCCTTTTAAACATTTTTTCATAAAATTAAAATGAAACCAATTTTATGTCAGATGATAGGGGTGCATATTACATACAAACTCGACCAACCAAGCCAACCAAATCCACACAGTTTGGGTCTGTGTGGGTTGGGTTTAGGTCTTTTCTTAAACCACAAATATCAGTTTGAGTTGTTCAAATGTTTTCAAACCGGCTAACTCAACCCGATCATCCACATATCCCTACAAAGTCAAAACTCTTAAAAAACGTTGTTGGAATTTTTTTAAAAAATACTTGAATACTCAAATGAGAAAAAACAAGAACATAATGGGTATACAGTTGGAGAAATGTTTTTAATACAAAAATTAACAGTTTATGAATGATTATTATGGTGTGTATGTTTGTTTTAGGGATAACAACGACATGAATGCCCTGGAATTTGAATCGGGTCTATTTGGTTGTGGAGTAGATATGTGCTTGGTTATAGAATAAATGACCAAGGGGCCGTTTACCAAATGTTTATCCGGGTAAGCACTTATCAAATTATATTACCTTACCAAATTAATATGGCAAGAACCAAAAATCTTACCCGGTAAGAGCGAAGGTAAGGACTGAGAGTCTTATCCGATAAGTGACAGCGACGACTTTTACCACGATTAGCACTTACCAGGTTAGTTGTTGCATACGATACCGTTTTGGTGGACTAAAATCTTACCAAGTAAGTAACTGATAGTTTTGAATTTTCCCGGTAAGCACTTACCCGAGTAAGTGTTGGTAAACAACCCCTAAGCTTATAACAAAGAAAGTATCGAAGTTGGAGAGATGCAAAACGGTCGTTGTTGATTGACGTATATTCTCTTTGATTCAAATCATTTTATTTAATACATTAACCATTTTATGTAATATTGTAACAACATTTAAACCCGACCCACAATTTGGTTGTGCTGAAAATTTTCAAACCGTAAATAGTGAGTTTTGTTATTCATATACATTCCAGCCAACTTAGGGGTTGTTTAGTTGGTTTTCCATCAATGAGTGTTTGTTTTCAACTTAATAAGCTTAATGGGCGGTTAGCTTAATTGGTTAAGTTATATTAAAGGTGTTTAATTTTAACTTAATACTAAGAGAATGACTTAACAACTTAAGTTAGCTCTTCCTATCTTGATGCATAACGTTAGCACTTTTCCTAAATTACCCTTGTCGTACAATTTAATCACACATCCCATTAAAAAATAAATAGTTTACCAACGTGCATAAATTAAAAACTGTAATCAAATAATAATATTTTATTGTTTTTAAGTATATTTTAAGTTATTAATATTGTGTTATGAACTCGTTGAATTCATATTATTTTAGTCATTTTAAATACTTATCACAAACAATTTATTTTCATTCAACACTTGTGTAGACATAAGATTAAAATGGTAATTTTTGCTGTTCAAATTATGTAGTCAGAACAAAAATCAAAAAACAATTTATCTTGATTTATCCAGACAGAATAAATGCTTAGGAACAACTTAATAGATTCAGAATTTAATAGATACAACATCAAACAACTGTTAGGTCATGTATGGATAAAGATGTATATATAGATTGAGAAGATTTTTATTTAGAAGAGATTTTTCATAGAAGAAATGTGGTTTTTAATTGGGTGAGAGGGATGAGTTTGGAAAAAAAAAACTCTACTTTCTACATAAAACTACCCCTAACAACATGTTCTCGAATTATAGGAGAAAACAAAAGTAAAGAATAGAGAGAGAAAAGAAAGGAAAAAAAAAACAATTTTTTTATTTGTGTTCTTGAAATAAAAGAAAAAAGGAATGAATAAAGAGTTTTTAGTAAGTTACTTCCTTCTAACTTATTAACTTAGAGGCTGTTCACCAATTTTTTTTTTAAGTCATGTATGGATAAATGAGTATTATTGTTTACTTCTTTTTATCTAAACCAACAGTCTGAATAACATAAATGACTGTTTTCCCCCCAAAATATTAATTATTTGAACATCAAAACAAAAAATCATAAAGAGGTTGACGATGGGGTGTCTCATTTGGGAAGGAGGCGATGCTTTAAATAAGCGGCAAATGTGTCATTTTTGTGGCTGAACGGGGACAACACATCATTTCTATATGTGCGATTAAGCCATGTTCTGTGCGAATAAGCCGTAAGTAAACAACTCAAATGAGCTGTGCGAATAAGCCAGATAGATCAATAAGCCTAATTAAGCTGTAAGTAAACAACCTCTTATTCCGATGTAGTACCGGTAATAAAGAGTTTAAAGTATTTGAATGAGAAAAGAAAAAAGTATCTCATCTATTTTATTAGCTTATCCGGTGTGGTACTACCATAAACTAATCCAAATATATTTTTTTTTATAAAACTTCAGTTTACCACCACAAACAAGTTAACAAACACTTTAAAACAAAACATAAGTTGTTTAAATAATCAAATCCAAACCCCTACAATTAAACCAATTTTTATATATTAAAAATAACCGACTAAAATGTTTGGTCCAATTCCAATGTAATGCAAGTTTTGAAAATACGAATATAACCCGAAAAATGGAAAATTCCGGTAACCGGAGAAGCGGTTGGAGTTTAGAAAATTGATTTCACAACTCATTCCCCGCCTTTCGCCCTTTCCTGCAAATCCATTTCCTTGCTGCTGCTGCTTGTTCTAGTGGCTGAAACGACGAAACAGAATCGATTTTTATTGAGGTTAAATTGCAGATTCACATCTTCAAAGGCATAGTCGACGTGTTGTTGGTGTTCTTCTTAGTAGTTTCTTCAAAGGCACGTCACAAACCTCTTCACAGGTTTTCTTCGATCCATTCAGTTTTTGGTACTTACTTATTTGAGGGTTTATTTGGATCTCAACATCTCCTTGATTAATTTGGTTTAAATTTGAGATTAATCAGTTGCTTGGACCTGCGCATAGGGTTCATGTGTACTATATTGGTGATACTAAATTGCTAAATATATTAGAATTAGAAACGGATCTGGTGGATTGATTAGAATAAAAGAGACGATTTTCTATTAATTGGTTCGCGTTGTGATTATTTCTAGCGGAAGTTTCAAAATATATGTATTGCGTTAGTTCTTTTATTGAAGTTCCGTAACGGAGGTATGTTATGAGTTGGATTCAAACTTCGTAGGATTAAGTAATTTGAATGTTGTAGGAAGAGGCGGTGTAACCCAATTCAGTCATTATATTTGACGAGTCGACTGCTAGGTTGGATTGATGGGTATGCAGATAAGAAACTGACCCTTACCTCCCGTTCCCTTTGCCTCACGGCACAAATCTATGTAAGAGACATAATTGAAGAATGAATGGAAGAACTGGATGATGATGGATCTAATACGATCTGAGACATGATATGGCTTTATAATTAACCGGTGGTTGACATAGTTGTTGTCAGTGAAGGTGGTTGGAAAGTGAAATGCTATTCATGTACACATTTAACTCTGTTTTCATGGCCCGCATGCAAATTGCAACCTGCAATCACATCTTCATATCGCCTGTACCATCCAAGACAAAATAAAGTTGCTGAAATGGCCAAGAATGTTACAAATATGATTGGGTAAAGACTGTCTTTCATGTGGCTCAACTTTTGGCTCAACATTTTGATATCACATACCTGATACCTGAGAACATTATAAATCTATAATTATTTCATGCTCATTTTGATATCACCAATATATACGGGTGCATGAGTTTGCCTATAAGATGCAAGGAATAAGTCAGACAAGGCACACAATTCATTGAAACAATACACAAACTGATGTTGTTGAGCAAATTTTATGACTTGAGGAATATCTTTTCTCTTAGTCCTTTTTGTGTAAATGAAATTTAATCTCATTAACTCATTAAGCATCCTTTCCGTTAATATGCTCTGCTAGAAGAGAGAATACAGTAACGAATGGGTTTCCTTAGGGCCTTCCCTCTACTTTGGGTAAGACTCTTCACCTTCTCGCTTGTGGCCTGCCTTTTCTTCTGTTCACTTCTTGTCTTCTGTTTTTGATGATTGCATGTATGGGCTTGATCTTAAATGATTATGTGTGGTTCCTCAATATAGGTTGAGGTTTATTGAATTTGACTCTTTTTGTCGTTGATGTAAATGTAATGATGATCCGTTATTTAATTATCAGTGATTTATAAAATACTAGTAATGTTAATGTCACTTTGGAACAATTTTCATCATCCGGTTGTTCTCGAATAGGCCCATTCAATGATGTAGATCAATTGTCACTGCTTATGCACCCGAACCTAGATGATCTATCCATGACTAGTCAGGTGCTTAGGACTTTCTTAGGGTTCGTAGAGGTCTTTAGGTTGAACCTTACACTACTGTCTTACCTAGTAAACTACCATAGATGCATCCAATGGGCAGGCAGTAAAAGTTTCAACCCATCTGGTGTGGTTTTGTGGGTCTTCTTAAAACATGCTTTTATAAATCTAGTATTCTTAGTATGAACGTTTGTTCAGCCTCTTAAGTGTTCTTTGTAAATATAATTTCTTTACAAGCAGTGAGTCCTACTTTGATAGGTCTACTCCTTGCCTTGCCCTGCCCTCATTCCTAGGGTCACACACCTAGATGTTTCTTATTTAATCAGTGCGTCCTTAGCGTCAGCACCATTCTGGTTGAGCTACTATAACCTGTAGCAAACCAAAGGAATAATGAAAGGGATATTTTGTGAGGAGTTTGGTGGTTTTGTATACATGATCTCTACATTGATCCTCCTCTTGAATGGATAACAAAAGAGGAACTCTCTCTTTCTGTAGGAGAGTCTATCTTCTCAAGGCATTCCAATAAGCTTATAGATTCATCTGCAAAATATCTAAGACTGCATACATGCATAAAATGATCTAAATTGCTACAAGATACAATAGAGTTCTAGAACATTGTGGAGAACACTATGCCTTCTCTAGATATCTCTAGAGCATTTTTGAGAAGTACGGGGTCTTCCATATTTTCTTTTGAAGTATATAATATTTTATATACGGCAAATGCAACAAATAAAATCACACACCCTCCTCACCTTTAGTGAGGTTTGAACCCCTGACCTCCTAGGAGGCCAAAGACTACGATACCTCTAGGCCAAAAACCCTTTGGTGGGGTCTTCCATGTTGAAGGACTAGACATCTATGTCCATACCGTATGTAGTATAAAACCATTTCTAGGACTTGGATTTTATTTCCACCGAGTACCCTTGTGAACATGCGTGAAACTTAGGAATATAATATGCCTTTTTCAATCCTTTATTTGGCTAACAGTATCCAACACGTAGTGAATAGAGTTAAGAGTGAAAATATTTCAATTTTCAAACTAATCTAACTACTGTGGATATATAAGCGTATTTGTTTATCACATGTTTTATACTGTTAAAATAAGCATGCAAGCAAGGTTTTGAAAGGCGGGATCCGGCCTCAAGGAGTTTTCCCTTAACGAGGAGAGGCGTAATCCCCGAGGCAGAAATATATATACACCAAAATTTGTATATATACCAAGGTTTTAAAAAGCGGAATCGGGGCTCGAGGCGAGGCGTAAGCCTGGAGGCGGTCCGAGATGTAAGCCCCAAGGCGGAAATATATGTATACCAATATATATACTACACAATATATTTGTACCAATCTGCATTCCACTGCTTATTCACAGAAAATAAATGCAATATATATATATATACACACACTTGAGTACTAGACACAAAGTACATAGATCATACTAAATTACTAAAAGAATCTACAACACTTTTTTCAATCAAGAATATATATATATATATATATATATATATATATGTATGTATGTATATTAATATGCTCACAGATCAAAGAAAAAAAATATCAAAATATCGACAAAGTGGGTTTAGAAGTGTGACAGTGACAAGTAGTAGAAACTAAATATAAAAGAAGTGTATCCAGTATATACATATACATAATACTGTTGTGAACTGGAGAAGAATCGAAGAAGAAAACACAAAGAAAACGGGTGAAAACTGGAACTCACGAAGGACAACAGAGTAGCAGATAGGGCTTAGGAGAACCAAAGAGGAACACGGTTTTTAAAAAAGAAATCAAGAAGGTTTCAGTCATTTTTCTAATAACGTAGCCTCTGTGGTGAGGCGTAGGCCTCTCCTGCTCTCCACCTCCTTATGCCTCATTGCGTTATGCCTCACTGCCTCAGACAACCAAGGCGTATGTCTCACCTAGGGATTGAGAGGCGCCGTCTCAGGTGCGAATTTGGGCCGCCTTGCCTCGAGGCGTATGCCGGACACGCTTTTTAAAAACCATGATATATACTACACAAATATATATGCCTTTATATACTATATATATATATATATATATATATATATATATATATATATAAGACTAAATTACTAAGAGGAGAAGTACTAGCTTTTTGGGTTTTAAAATATTAGAAGCACATTTGGGGCCATTCGGCTTCGGCTTCGACTTTTAGTTTTTTTTTTTTAAAAGAAAAGAAAAAAAGAGACACAACGTAAAGAGAAAGTACTACCACTGCCATAAAGCTTCTAAAAAAGCCAAATAATTTACCAAAGCATATCATCTGAGGCGTACGCCTCGGCAGCGCCTTACGCCTCACTGAACCAAGGCGTAAGTCTCGTCCAAGGTCCAAGAGGCATCGCCTCAGGTGCGGTTTTGGGCCGCCTCAGTCCTCACCTCGAGGCATATGCCTCAAACGATTTTTAAAACCATGCATGCAAATTACAACAGACGTGGCTTGAAACTAGAGATGCACAAAAAATCCCAAGCCTGAATAGCCCTTGCCTAGTAAGCTCGAGCCCAGGCCCAGGCCCAGGACCATCCTTAAAACCTGATCAAGCCTACTTTTTTTCAAGGCCTGGTTAGCTCGAAAAAGCCTAGTCTGAGAAAGCCTGAAATATCCTGATCGGGTCCTCTTTCAACCCCAAAGCCTGGGTTTTCCTTTTGCCTACTGAAAAAGGGCTTGGAAGGCCCAGACGCAAAAAAGGCCGAGCTTTGTGCATCTCTACTTGAACCTAGTGTGTATAAAAATAAATCTCAACCTCAAAATGTCTGTTAGTTGGCTTTTGATTTTAAAGTGTGTAGCATGAAGTCCCTGGAGGTTTACTACTAGATTTATCAACTACAGAGAGATACCTCCAGTGTGTGCTGCTATTTTACCCTTTGATCATTGTGAAAGAAAATGTAGTGTTTGATGAAGATGATTGATAGTATTATAAAAGTTCACAGATTTAATCTGGTGGTTGAGTGTGTATAGAAATAAATTTCAGTAGGTACCTGCACTCTTTTGTTCAAATTCTGCCATATAAAAGCGTACATTATCTTGCCACAAGATATCCATTTACAGATGGTGGTGGTTTCTAATAAGAAAATAATGAAATATCATTTCAACTGGAAAGTAAAGGTGAAGTTATAACTGTGAATTTATGATTAAAAGCTTTAAGATGTGTCATGTGTCTCTGACGTATGTTAAGCACTTAGCGTCATGATTAATATTTGTTAGATTATCATAGCATTCTACTATATCTGTGCTTTGACCAATCATTTTCTATTATCGAGTGAGGTTTATAAATGATATGAAAGAAAAAGTTGCATTCGTGTGAGAGTTGTCACAGTTCACGTTGATCACATCTGTTAGAGGACTCTCTGTGTTGATTTTGTGACTCTTTGGTTTCAATTGTGCTTACAAATTAAGACTGCTGATCTAAGTAGCTGGATATACCAGTTAGGTGGAGCATTTTTTATCTGTTTGATTGATCTGACTATTTTAATTTTATAGGATGGAAGCTTGAATGTAACTGCAAATGAGATGCAGAACTAGAAAATGGCCAAGTGTCTAATTCTATATTAAATCAGAATGTAGCTAGTCTAGACCATCATTGCATAAGAATGGTTCATGAACCGCCTAGAATAAGTTACGGATTGGTGAAATACATTTTGAAATAGTGGACAGTTACATTTTAAAGAGCAAAATAATGGCAACCACCAAAGTCTAAATTATTTCTTTTTAAAGAGAAAGAATGTGACTGAGAAGCAAGAGAATGTGCACAAACTCACATGTTTTTCTTTCCACAAATAGCCATTATTGTATTTGATGATAGATCAGCCCTGTTTCAAATGAACTAGCGTTTGGTGATGCCACTGTGAGAAAGTCATTTAAATTATTTTATGAGATACTTCTTTTTCTTCTTTAAAATACCCGCTAGAAGTCAACTTAACAAATACGCAATAAGATTCTAATTATGAACTTGGTACAAAAACGTTAGTGAAAATCTTCATGTATCCTCCCTCTGTTTCCCCTGGTCAAAACCTTTATGCATGAAAACCAAAGTCAAGTTGTATCCCGGACCTAATTTCGTGATACCAGATGTTACCTTTTCTAATTTTGGTGCACATGGATGTTGCTATATACGGCACTGGGTTGAGTTTACCAATTTATACTTTACTATGCCGATAGGTTTGTAACTTTTTTACATCACTGGTAGACACTTCACCATTTTTTTTTCTGGCATGGTGGTGTATGAGTACATGCTGGCACAATATTCTTTTAGTGTTGAGGAATTTAATTAATATCTGTTAATACAACAGGAAATATATAGAAATGAATTTATTCTGACCCATGAAACCACACCAGAGGCGGTGTAACTAAGACCGCCCACTTGTTGACATGCAACAAGAAATTCATGGAGGAATACACAAAATCAAGGACCTTTAAGCTTTAGGTTATCCTTAGCAAGTTCCAGCAACTTGAGCAAGCATAGGGTGGTCAATAGCCAAGTGGATTATCTATAGACTCTAGAAGTAGATTACCAATTTACCATGTGTAGATTTTTCTTTTCATAGAATGTTTGCTCCCTCAAGTATTACGGTCAACCCTGCATGGATAGAATATTCTCCTCTATTTCTCTGCTTTCTAAGATTAATTATATGTTCTTGCACCACTTTATATTTATGCCGTCATATAGGCATTTAATAATAAATTATGACATGGATGGTTGTTTGACCATGTGTGTGTGTTCCCAGCAGCTGGTGACAACATTGGATGCTATGAACAGCAACAGGGAAGAATCAAGGATTCCGATTATGGTAATGAACTTTTCCCTGTGAGGAGAAGGTTTTGACTTTTGAGTGAGGGGGCCGGTGTTTACACGTCAAGTAGTTATCATTATAGCATGATTAATATTGTGATAACCTTATTTTGGCCGTAGTTGTACTTGAAGGATGACTTATCTGCTATTAAAATGTATATGTAAACAGCATCAACTACAAGAGTAATATTTTTTGGATGATCCGAAATAATAGTAATAATGATATTAATCGGTCCATTATAATGTTTGTCCAAAGTAACTAATGACGACACAATAGTAATTAGTTGTCTATTAAGGCTCAGCCCACAATGAAAGGATTGAATTCTGTTGTAACAGAAGTTGCATGTTACATTGGGGATTCAACATGTAAGAGGGCATCTTTGCATGAGGACAGCTTTGGTAAAGTGCAATATTAAAAGAATGCTTGGTTGACTCTCCTTGCATCCAAAAAAGAACTTGATTATCGTCATTCCATTAAATTGCAACTTCAAAGGAGCCATGGACGACATTTTGAGCTTCGTTTCTGTTAAAAAAATTGATGCTTTGCTAGAGGAGTTACAAAAGAAACATGTACACACAAACAAGTATTTCATATAATGGCCATCTTTCCTTAAATTTTGTAGCACATAACATCTTGTATGGTTCATTCGTTATAAATTATCTATTTTGTGATAAGTGCACTAATCATTTAAATATTGCACATGGTTATGCTGGTCTCCAGGTTTTTAATTTGCAGTTCACGTAATTATCCTTCTTTCTTAACATCTTAGGATCCAGTGCAGCTATTTTCAGTTTTTATGTATAATGGTCCATTGAGGAAGGTTGGGTGGAGGATATGTATACATGCTCTCTGTTAATTTTGCTGCAGTTTGTGCGGTTTCCCTTCTACTCTATCCCTTTATTAGTTCATGATAAAAGGCTTGCTGTTTATGTTGATAATTTTAGGTGATTAATATTTGGTGTTTACATACATCCTTTTGAGTTAATCTTCCTATTTTTTTAGAGAAGATACACTGTACTTCTTATTGTTTGCAAATACTTCAACAGCTGCTTGTTTGTCAGGCAAACAACAATATCATGAGGAATGGCCAGATAACTCCCCCACTGTTTCCATCGGTGCCTGCTTTAAATGGAGCTGCATCTTATCTTGCTGAGACAACGTCATATCTAACTAGTTGTTTCCCTGCTATCTCTGGTCTGCCTCCTCACTGTCTCTCACACATATACAGTCGCTGTTTTCAATTATATGCTTTTTGTGGAGATTAATTTTAACTTCATGCTTTTGCTTACAACTGCTATTCTGTTATTTAGTATGTAAACCAAACGTGATTCTTTTTCGTTCCATGAACTAGCTGGTTTTGAATGGCATGCATCCTGCTGAATCATAAGATGCTTCCAAATATTTTAGAAGTCTAATGTTCAGAAAACTTAAGTGAATATCATTTAAGATATTGGATGTCTTTTCTTATAAGTGATGCTGCAGCGCATTGAAAATTTTAATACCTAAATTGCTAAAAGAATTGACACTTCCATTGTTAATGTTAGTGATGATTTTACTTCCTGCAGTATAGTAATCATTTGTCTATCGTATCTGGCTCTTGTCCATCTACCAATTTCTCTGGGTCTAGAATCTTAAGCTCATTACGTTGGTTGTGTCATTTTTTTTCTCTTCTCTGAACAGACAATGTGCCTAGAGGTTCTGATGGGCAGGAAATGTTGGCATTTGCTTCTGAAGAAATCAGCGAACCTTCATTGAGTAATACTGGACATGTTGGAAGCCTTTCCACAGTTTCTGGGTTAACATTAGCTGCAACTAATGCACCACCAATCCGTGATGAAATAACAAGGAACTCAGAAGAAGATCATTCTCAAAATAATACTGCACTTGTGCAATCAGATCAGACCAGTCAAAGTGGGGTTTCCATATTTCAAGGGTAATGGTAACCGATAGTCTGTTGGATCATTAATTGATCTGGATTTTACACTATAATTGATTTTAACAGAACATGCATTAATACTTGAAAATTATGTTTGCATGGCTAGAGTCCTTTTCTGTTTCTACCTAGACCCTAGTAAATGTCTGCTACCCTTTTGGTCATTTATCCTTTTCCTTGAATGTGCATAATAGATGATGAAGTGCCTCTAAGATGTAGTGTAGAAGTAGGGATTAGGTGAATCCTGTTGAACTTCAAAGATCAGGGTGGATGTATTTCATGGGTTATCCTTTTTGTACCTGTCTTCTATTATTCTTCTGCTAAGCATGTATAGTACCAATTGAACCACCATTTTATTCTACTTACCATCTGATGGAACCAAGCATAACCTGATGCTAACCTTTTCTTCTTACAGATTTTTCATGTTGCATAATTTTATATTGGGCATTAAGAGCAACTGAGTTGTGACACTCAAAATATCAATGATTTCTTCCTAATAATTTTATGGTTTCTTTCTGCATAATGAACAAGTACTTCCATATGCAACAAGACCAGACCTGACTTATTGTCAATTTGTCATCCATGTTGAAGCATCTGCTTAATAGTAGGGGTGCTCAAAAACCCGATCAACCCGATCAACCCAACCCAACCCAACCCAACGCAAAATAACCCAACCCAAACCAACCCGATGTCTAATCGAGTTGTAAAATTGTCAAACCATAGGTATTGGGTTGATATTGAGTTACTATTATTTGAACCCAACCCAACCCAACCCAACCCGATGAACCCGATATCTTTTTAGTTCTTGGATTTAATATAATTGTTGAATTTCTATAAATATATACATTAGACAATTACACTATCATGTATACTTTTCATATACACATATTTTCAATCTATTCATATCTCTATATAACCCATTCAGTAACTATGAACATATATATGTAAATTGAGAAAATTAACTGAATGTGATATACGTAAGAAATATGAATAAGTTGTATCAAATGGTTGATGTTGAAAAAGAAATTATGAGTAGAGAAATAACATATTCAAGGTTAGAAGAATATTTTAATATACCAAAGTATCAACCCGACTAACCCGACCAACCCGTACGGTTGGGTTGGGTTGGGTTGCACTTTGGTTTGGGTTGGGTTAAGATTTTTCCAAACCGCAAACATTGGGTTGGGTTGTTCAAATGTCCTCAACCCGATCAACCCAACCCATGAGCAACCCTACTTAATAGTGAGCCATGTTTTCTTATATAACTGAACCAGGCAGGTTAATTTGTGTTGTCAGGACTATCCCTTGGTCACCTGTACATGAGGATGCCATTGAATAAGGTCATTGAAGCTGATTAGCATATCAAAAACAAACGAATCTGGTTAGCATGAAGATTTTAACCCTTGTGCACTTGATCATCATTTTTTCTCTGAGGAAGCTAGAGGTCTAGATTACATGACATTTACCAATCTTCCAGGTCTTGAGTAGCGTCCAACGTCACTGAATTTCTTTGCCAGTTGAGCATGTACTTCTTTTTGGTTATAATAGATATATCTTACAAACATAACCCTTAGCAGATGGGGGAGAAAATGAGAGATTTCTTAAAGACTGGATAAGGTTTGCATACATTTCAGCAGATGGTTTTTGGACCTTTACTTTCTTACTGTGCTATTAAGATGTATCGTGTGTTCTTTTATGCACTGACCCAAGCCCAGGCCCATTAGTATGTTCGAGTAGGTTGGAAGGGTAATTCTGGGATTTTGGAATAGTCTGTTAGTGGGAAGGTGATCTGGGCATTACTTAGAATAGAGGGGTCATGGGTTTTGCATAAATAGGGGGGGACATGGGAAGTGTAGGTTTATGCAGAAAATAGTGAGTTTTGTATGGGAGATACTAGCATCTCGAATAGCTAGATGTTTTCATTAGTTTGTTGCTTTCAATCCAAGCTGGATTTCAATCCTTATTCTAGTATCTGTTCTTGATTTCCTGGTTCATGACATGTTCACTCTTAGTAGTGCCTTTTTTTGACGTTCTTATACAACTTATATGAAGTTATCTTTCAGCCTGGTTGAGCGGGTTCGGAGGACAGTTCATGGGTCATCTGATGACATTGGATGGCTACAACGTGCTCCAGAGATGCCTCCTGTTGAAGATGGGACAGAACGGTTCACTAATATTCTTGACAATATCAGGTACAAGGGTAGTTAATTTTCCATATATGATGCCACCTACTAGCTTTATTGATACAATTTTGATTTTGCTGCTTTTCTCTGCATCAGGCATGGTATACATGTGTTGCCAAACTCGATGGTTTATCTCTTGGTTCCAGGTAATCTACAGATTCCTAGAATTCTATGTGGATCGAGGATGATATCATGTATATGGCATTGTATAGAACCTTCATTTCTATCTTTAGTACTGATGTACTCCCTCCGGCCCAAAATAAGTATCCACATTTCTATTTTAGTTTGTCCTAAAATAAGGGTCCACTTCCAATTAGATGTTGGAAATATGGGGTATTCCGTCAAGAGCCTTGGTAATTCTCTCAACTTGGCTATGGGTGTAGGTTTTTTTTATCGTTTTTGAAAAATAGATGTTGGAAATGTGGGGTATTCCAACAAGATGTTGAAGACTTTTTGAAGTATATAATATTTATATACAGAAAATTGAACTCACACACTCTTCACCTTGGTGATGCTTGAATCCTTGACCTCTAGGGAGGCTAACGCAAATACTACTGGACCATTGACCCTTTGCTGCCTGAAGAATTTAGAGATCTATACTTTTCCAAACTGCATGATTAAACAACGAATTCGGCTCTGCATCATTGGAAATCAATTTTCTCAAGTTTACCACTCAATTCTATATAATTGTTTCAAATTCTAGAAGGTGGAGTTTTATTATGATCGTTGTCACTTGTCAGGCAACATGAATCAAACCGTAAGTCCTAATGCCCATTTAGGTTCTATTGAATCTGATTAATTATGTTGGCCTTTCATGTTTTGGGCAATGCAGGTCTTTTTAGCAACCATGGACCACTTTATTTTACTAGTACAAAGGCAACTTTCTCAAAAATGGGATTGACGTGTCACATTGCAAAGATTCATAGTGAGGTATTATGATTATTATCTCAATTTCTGTGCGGGATATACTGTGTTTGGTTTGGTTTTTGGTCTGTTTTATCATTGACATCAAACATTTTAGGCATCAGTTGAAAAGAATGCGAGAGAAATAAAAGAGTACATTGAAGAGATCTATTGGGGTTCCAAGAAGCGTGTTTTGCTTCTCGGTCATAGTAAAGGCGGAATAGATGCAGCTGCTGCTTTATCAATTTATTGGTCGGATTTGAGAGATAAAGTTGCCGGTCTGGCTTTAGCTCAGAGCCCGTATGGTGGTAGTCCCATAGCTTCTGATATTTTGAGAGAAGGGCAGATTGGGGATTATTTCAATGTCCGAAAACTAATGGAAATCTTGATCTGCAAAGTGATAAAGGTAATTTCTTTTTCTATTTCATTTTCACATGTGTTTTTCCTTTTCTAATTGTCGTCTTTAGTTGCATGTTATGTATTCTAGTTGCTCATGCGCATGTCCAATAGTCATTTAGGGGCTGTTTACTAAGGGGCCGTTTACTAAATGCTTATCGGCCTATCAGGTAAGCGCTTACCGGGTTACCATAGCAAGGATCGAGAATCTTTCCTGTGTGGACGCAAGGCAAAGATCGAGAGTCTTACCCGGTAAGTGATGGTGGTGACTCTTACCCGGTAAGCGCTTAGTGCGTGATAGATGTTTTCAACAATCCATTTTGATGACCGGGAATGTTACCCAATAAGCCAAGTGAGGGTGGTGACCCTTGCCGATAAGTGCTTATGCGGTAAGCGTTTCAAAAACGGCCCCCAAGTTGTTATAGCCTCTTACCGGGTAAGAGTTAATGTTGTTTATCAACACATTCTGACCAACAAATGTTGTTGATCAAGATGCTAACCCGATATCGGCTAAGTATATCTCATCTCTAGACCCCACCTTCCAATGAGATCTATTGGACTTGTTTGGTTTCTTAGGGTGCGTTTTGGTGCGGGGGGACGAGACAAATCAAAAACTTGTTCCCATGTTTGGTGCGACATTAGACTGATTCAAGACCTGACTGAGTGGGCAAAATAGGTGGAACAAAGATCAGGAATATGGGGCTATAATTATAAATTACTAAATTACTCATGTCAAATTAATACCCTAAAACCTTGCACAGTTCTTTCACAACCTCACTATCTCGACCAGTCCTGTCCCTCAAATGCACCGTTAAAGACATGGTTATGTTTTTTAAGTATATAATATTTTTATATAACAAAGCTCATGCACACTCCTCACGTGTGGTGAGACTTGAACCCTTGATCTCCAAGAAGTTCGGGATCTATTGGTAACTCGGAAACTGTTGGGCCATTGACCCTTTGGCTGGTTATATTGTTTTGAAGGGTGACTTGCAAGCGCTCGAAGATTTGACTTACGAAAGGCGGAAAGAATTCTTGATGAAACACCACTTGCCCAAGGATCTTCCAGTCGTCTCATTTCACACCGAAGCCAACATCTCTCCGGCCGTTTTGGCGACACTTTCTCGTGTTGCACATGCCGAGCTTCCAACCTTCGCTACTAATTTATCAGCAAATGCAGTTCTACCTGTTGTAATTCCTCTTGGAGCCACATTGGCCGCCTGTGCTCAGCTGCTACAAACCCGATATGGTGAGAAGAGCGATGGACTCGTGACCTGTCGGGATGCAGAGGTTCCGGGCTCGGTCGTGGTGCACCCCAAGCGGAAACTGGACCATGCGTGGATGGTTTACTCTTCAATGAATGATGACCCTTTGGAGCCAGATGCTTCTCAGGTGTGTGAAGCTCTGCTAACTTTGGTCATGGAAGTCGGACTGAGGAAGAAGCATTATCTTAGCATCAAAGAGGAATGAGACCGCCACACCAACGGCAACCTCCTGCCGCCACTAACCACCGTGGAACCGCCACAATCACATGTTGAAGAGATGTTATGTTGGGTTTTTGTAGCAGAAGACTGCTTTTAGGAACGAAGGTAAATGATGTAAATAAGTTTTTAAGAATCGGTTTGTTTTAGCTCAATGCTGAAGAAAGTTTGTTGGGGGTGATTTCATGATGGATTGGAGGTACAAGTTTTTTGTTGTAAAAATTACCGATTTACTTTTTTCTTTAAATTATTTTTATCCTTTCAATTACACGGTAATTATTACACTTATTAGGGTAAACTATAAATATGGTCCCTGTGGTTTGTTGAAAATAACACTTTTTTACTTTGTGGTTTGAAATTACAAAATGACCATCATGGTTTGAAAAAACATACGGATTTGATCCATTCTAACGGTTAATAAACCGTCTTCATTAAGTGGGGTATTTCTGTCTTTTTATTGATTTTTTTTTGTTTTTTATCCAATCAAAATCAATTATATGATTTGGTCCATATGGTTTTTGATTGAGTTAAAGAAAATAAGTTGATAAAAGGACGGAAATGTCTTTTATTTTACGATTTTCTAATGGCCGTTAGACTAAATATGGACGTTTTTACAAACCATGATGACCATCTTGTAATTTCAAAAATGCAGGGACGTAAAGTGTTGTTTTTGACAAACCACAGGGACCAAATTTGTACTTTATCATTAATAATAAAAAGAGAGGAATTTTTTCATGTCAAAATAAAATGCCACTTATTTTGAGACAAACTAGTGTACATATACATACATTCAATTTGGGACGGAAAGAATCATATCTTCATTGTTTATGAAACCATATCTGTTAAATAAAACCGATCCCCTTTTTTTAGGGGTGATCTATAAATCTGATGCAGCTTGAATGTGACTGATATGTGACTTTTATTTTTCTATTTGATCATGATTTTTAATAGCATACGTCTTAATGTCGTGTTGCTTAAATTCAATTAATTATATAAATATAATTATGATGAGTTGGCCAATTTTACCATCGACAAAAACAAAAACATAAAGACATTACTTCTTTTTCATCCTGACTGTAATATATTGTCATTATAGAAGATATCATGATATCGTTCTTTTAAGATGTTACTTGAATATATATATATATATATATAAATTAATTTTTGCCACTTGTCCAATTTCTTTGTATCTTCAATATTTTGTTTAATACAAGTTCTTGCAATTTTGGCTTCAAAAAGACATCAAAGAAACCAGTATTCAAATTAGTAAGTTAGGAGAAGTACGATGTTATTACAAGTAACAGAGTGTAAGTACGAGTATTGTATCCACATAAACGGTTAAGTGCCAAATTTGGCAACAAGCCATACAATTTTCACTATCCTCTCTTGAAGTGTATCAAGCAATTTTACCAATTAATGTATTATAACTCTGTAAATTTTGTCCAACTTACAGATATTTCACATGCAACCAGGTCTTAAACAATATATCTCTATCTGATTTATCATCTTAGGTTAAAAACTCTTTGTTCTAACTACAATAGCACATCTCAACATCAATATACGATATGCACACACACACACACACACACACACATATATATATATATATATATATATTTTTTTTTTGCTGTAGTCTTCAATATATGATGATTTGAAGTCATTTAAGTTTAGATTGTTATATTTTCGCTTTCCTTATGAACCCTAGGTTATAAAGTCTGTTTAATCTCATCTGTTGTGTATATTACCAGTTAAAGATACGTGCAAAACGCAATAGTCTGTAAGCGACTTTAAATTGACTTGGAAGTCACCCATGACCTCACAGGTCTCGCTTTAACTCTAAACGAGTTTGAAAGTTATTCGGAAGTCGATTTTGGTGCGGCTTTCAGCTGTAGTTGACTTGGGAGTCACCCATGACCTCACAGGTCTCGCTTCAACTCTAAACGAGTTCGAAAGCTATTTGGAAGTCGTTTTTTTTTTGGTGCGGCTTTCAGCTATATTTAGCCACCTCAGAATACCCTATCAATCTAGTTCAACTCAATTGACTTCATCCTTACAACACAATAATCTTTTTGGTTGATATTTTAAGGGTTTTTTTTTTGTCATTATCTACTTACTTTTAACTTGCATACATTAGACCCAAATATACAATTAAAATTATCTATACTATATTATAAAACATTTGACAAAAACTCTTAAAAACCATTTTTTATGCATGAAGTACTGCTTATTGATGCATATTACTTAAAATTCAAGATTATAAATAAATTATGCGTAAGTGCAACTTATTAAAGCTTCATGTTTGAATTCGTGTAACTAACTTTAGATAAACATAATTAAATAGAGGATAAACATTTCATTTTAAATATTAAAAAAAAAACTAAAATATAATTAGAATAATCATTAAGTTCTAACAAAATACTTAATTATTATATTTATAAAAAATTAAACCAAAAATAAAAAAAATGAATTAAAGAAATACACAAAAAAAAATTAAATAGTTAGTTTGATACTAATATCAATATTTTTTTATGATATCTTCATATTTATATTTTATTAAAAAATAAAAACATTATTTCTTTCTCAAAACCACATAAAACCGTATAATAACATCGATTAAGACAAAAAAATAAAACACTAAAATCAAAATGTATCTCTATTGTACCAGTAACCTTCTGATTGCTTTTAAAAAACAGGAGCATATTTATGTAAATCATCTGATATCCACATTTAGCCCCCAAAGTTGACCAACATTTTCCAAAAGTCCCCATCTTAATCATTAAATACTTATTTTTGGTTTATAATTCTAAAATAAATATTTATAGTGAAAGTGACATAGTTTTAAAAATATGCATATCTTTTAAATGATTAAATAAATTTTTTTCCTTTTTTTATGTTATATTAAAAAAGTAAAAAAATTTGTTTTAAAAATAGACATTTATTATAAATAAATAAATAAAAATATGAACACTTATAAATTATAAGCGACGAAGCAATTACTAAATTACGTACTTTCTTGATCTCTAAATTTTTGATTTTGTATTTTTTTTAAATACAATATTTTAAGTATGAGTTTTAATATTGATTTTTTTGTTAATTACGAAATCATTAAGAACGTCTTCAAGAGCTTATTCATAATTTTTTCTTTTTCGTTTTTAATTTATTTATGTGGTTGTTTGGATGTGTTTATATTGAGAATAACAAAATAGAGTTTTTGAAGAAATTTGTAAATCTACAAAAACTTGAATTAATTTTAGTACTTTCTCAAATTTAAAGAAAGTGTGAAGAAGTTACTCTTTATATATATATATATATATATATATATATATATATATATAT